TATATATATATATATATATATATATATATATATATATATATATATATATATATATATATATATATATATATATATATTAGCGTGTCATAGTTTTCTATACTCATTAGTTCCTCATCTACCTCTGTTATCTTTTCTCTGTTGTCTTCCAATTTCTGTTTTTCTTTTTCTATTTTTTGTATTCTTTTTTCTAATTCATCTATTCTAGTTTCTAATGCTATTATCCTGATATTCATAGTAGAATCATTTATCTCTTCGTATTTTTCTTCTTTGTATATTTTTGTTTTAAATTCCTTGTTCTAATGCTATATATATATATATATATATATATATATATATATATATATATATATATATATATATATATATATCAAAGGCCTAGTGTATCTGTCAATTCCAAAATGGGCTCTATGTAATAGTAGGAGTTAAGCTATATATAATTACTAACTAATATATAAGTATTACCTATTACAGTAGTTTAGTTATCATTCTTATGAGGTTACTAACTAATTACATTATAACCTAACGGTGTAAAATATTCCTTTACATCACCAAAGCATATAATTTAAACTCAAGTAAATATACATACTGATTACTACAATAAAATTAAGTTATATGCAATGATGGTGCATATTATATTATCCAATATAGTTTAACCTATGACAATAAATTTAGTACCAATCTTACCAGGTTACCAAATAAGAATAATGTTTATCATGAAAGTTTACATGTAATTATCTTATTATATTATTACGGATACTACTTAAATTCAATACCTAGTGGGTAGGTTTTAGACAAATTTTCTTGGAAAAACATGAGAAAGAAGACTAACATTTGACTTGTAGGAAAATCTTGGGAGATGAAAGCGTAAATGTTGATACCATGTGGCGACAATGTCGCTGCCAACAGGTATTTCATGCCTTACATAATGTACTTGTCAAGACGGTTTGTTTTCTTTTCTTTATAGATAAGCAAATACTACTATCAATGTAGTTTTAAGGGTTCTTTAGTTCAGCCATCCATTTCCAGGGTAGTTCCACATCTGACTCGTTTCTTTAATCGAACGTTTTACCCTCTTATTCAGGCAATTCAAACATTAGAACAAAATTAATAAGTTAAAATATTTACATTGTTAGTGTAGTTTAATTTGCTATACATATTTTTAATTATTTTATAAATGGCTTGATTGTGTAATATATTTTTTAGTTGTCATTTACAGAAGTAAAAGGAAAAACAGGGAAAAGGTAGAGCCATATTGTTGTTTGAGGAAATTAAAGAGCTGCTCAACGTTTTTGTAACAGTGAGATTTCATCAGACTTTTAGTTGTAGGGTTGTTATAAAAGGTGGATAGAGGCACATCACTTCCACCATAGTACTTCAAATAGTTACTGCAGATCTATACATAAAAGTCTACTTATATATATACACTTAACACCAAGCTTACTCCATCTACCTTTAATCAATTAATATTGAAGCCTCACTTACGTATATCTAATGAATAAAGTTACTTGAGATGCGAGATATATAGGGGGATCCACACGTCCAAACATCTGGTTAAAGAGTCAATAGCTGATCATGATAGAAAGAAGCTAGAAACTACGAGTGAGGAAAGTAAGTCATTAATAGGGCCATATTCACCTTTTCATACCATGTGACCAAATTAAACGCTTTTAATTAAATGCAGAAATGCTGCCTCATTTATTTGACACCATATATTGAACAAGATTTTTATGTTCGTTAATGTTCGTCCCGAGCTGAAATTATATGTTGCCCTAGCTCCTTATACAGTTCACAGTTGTATGACCATTTAGCGAGATGTTTGTGCTTATGTTAAGCTGAAATTGGTCACTTAATACAAACGGTTACTAACCTTTTATAATAAAATTAAATGACACTAATCGTGTAAGAAATTTTTACACATAACATAAATTCGTTAAGAGAAAGCAACCCAAGAATAAATCTCCTTCATATATAATTGAGGGAACAACGATCTGAAGAAAGATGAATTCTCAACCACAAAACCCTTTCTATCAACACTTTATTCCGGCAAGTTAGATCCATGTTACCACTTATTGATAAAGGTATATTCACACATGAAAAATTATCAGCACTAATGAATGAGTTGTTTAAAAATAGGGCCATTTGTTGGCGATTGCGAGGACGATGAACAAATGATTGATATAGCATGTGCCCTTCACATGCCTGTGCTTTAAGCCTCTACTGTAGCTCTATTAACAGATCGTTTTGGGTGTCTCAGTTGTTTGTTTTTCCTGCTTTTATATTCACTTCGTTTGGCGAAAGAAGGAGGCTAAAAAAGAACAAGAGATATTTACTATTCTCATTTCACATTATAATTGATAATATATTCGATGCAATTCAACATAATCTAAGATCTAATTAACTCAAAATAATCATCAAACTCAGATTCTATAAAAATTCAAGTTTCATTTTAAAATAAAATTAGACAGTATAATTTATCATAAGTTTAATAAATTACCTTACTATGGGAGTCAATCAATTAGATGGACAGATGTTACAAATGTTGAGTTTATATATACATATATACACGGAGGAGCGAGAAGTGCAAATGAACAACAATAGTTTCTTGACATAAAATTAATCTCGTTTCACTACCGTTCAAACACGAACGTGATCAACACTAGTTACATATCAATTATGCCTCAGGGGATGGAAACTATCGAAATCGGAACACATAGGATGGTGTTGTCAATTGGATTGTTGCGCGCAGACAGCAAACAAGGAGCCGTCCCAAAGTTGGATATTGTCTCCGACACAAGTGTACACAGGGAAGCACGTAACAACTTCCTTCAAGAAGCATCGTGAATCCTTAAACTCATACTGTTTAACAGTTCACGTTAAAGTCTAGACCCTCAGCAAATAGTGTAGGGACATGCCTGCCACTGTGTCGTGGTTTACGCAAAAAGGAATTTGTCAGCGAGCCACAATGCCCGTTTTGAAATTTTCACGACTGAACACAATTGCAAGGGACAAACAACTTCACTACTTAACGTAAAAGCATGATGTTAACCATTACCCCGAGAGTCCAGAACTAAAGTGTTAGTTTTTTGGACTCAAACCACCAAAATAGATGAAAAAAACTATTGGTGACCTTTTTATGTATAGCGTTTGAATTTCATGCGCTAAACCTTACCGACACGTTTGTCGGTTAAGGTATAGCGCATGTAAATTGGTGGGTATGGCGCATTTATAAATGCGCTATACCCTCTAATTATTGTACCCCTTGCTCAGAATATTTGCTTATTTAAGGAGATTCATTCCTTCTTCAGAAATTCATTCCGAAAAATTCAGTCTTCAGCATCCTTTTTATTTTCCTTACTCATTCCGAAATATTTGTTTACTTACTGCATTTTGCCATAATGTCTGAAGAGCAAAAAATTAGGTTTGCATTATATTGGGGGGGGGGGGGGGAGGGGGGAGGGGGGTTGAGGTTGTCGTAGAGAATAACTCAGTACACAATAGTTGTTCTATAGAGTGTACTGTTAAGTTGCCACTCATATTAGAGTACGATAGATTGGTATCTTTGATATGTGAAAGAATGAATGTCAGTTCGCTTAATATTAATGTAACTGGAAGATATCCATATTCACTTACTCCGCAAGGGGTTGCTTGTTATGTTGAGTTTAACATTGAAGACGATGAAACTCTGAAAGATTTTTTGAGGACCTCGGATGAACACCGGAAACTTTTTGTGATAAAAATGCTAGAAATGTACATCAAGTCTGAAGACGTCCGCAATATTGACGTTCCACAAAATAGGGATAACCCTCAATCATCTAGTTGTATTTTTGGAGCAATTTTATTCGAACAGGTTCTGTTTGGAATAGCCTGACCAGATCTAAATTATCTTGATCAGTTGCCCAGTATGTCGGATGTGAATTCCCTCACATGGGATCTTGATGACATTCGGACAGCAATGTGGGATGAATCTAGACCAACGGAGCTGTCAAAGAATATGCTTTTTGATGGTAAAGCGCGCCTTAGCAGGGAGGTGCGAATACAGCATAAAATATTATCGTGAGATCGAGGTTCATGAGTTATCTACGCAAGTATATAAGTTTATTTGTCGTAGATGGTTTCAAGATTCTAGATGGATGCTGCGTGCGAGAAAGGTGAAAACAAATATGTGGATGGTGGAGAAATAAATTGACAGCCACATTTGTGATATGGACCCATTCGATGGGAATCATTTTAACTTGAATTTTGACTTGATTTCTCTTATCTTGATTCCACACATTGAATCGTCCATAAGGTACAAGATTAAAGAGTGTATAACATCTATCCACCAGGTATATGGTTGTACTATTACCAAAAGAAAGGCATTTCTCAGGCGTAAACGTGTGTTTGAGATTGTTTATAGTTTTTTGGATAAGTTATTTGTTGCTCTACCCAGGTACATGACTGCTTTGCAATACTTCAACCCCGGTATTATTGTTGAATGGAAGCTTAAGCGGAGTCCGAGAATACCAGAATACATATTCAGATATGTGTTTTGGTCATTCAAACCAACCATTGATGGTTTTATGAATTATCATCTAGTAATCTCCATAGATGGCACTTATGTCTATTGAAAGTATGATATTAAGATGTTGATTTCTATTGCAGTAGATGCTAATGGAAGCATATTTCCCACCGCATTTGCTATTTGTGCCAATGAAAGTCAAGAGACTTGGACATGGTTTTTGAACCACTTGAAGGAGCACATTGTCAGACAACGCGCAGGTATTTGTGTAATATCTTATCAACATGGTGGGATTTTAAGTTATGTACAGACTTTGGATGCATGGAAGGAACTATATGCCTACCACCATTCCAGCGGTCTTATCCGAACAAGATCTTACATGATTTAATGTGGATGGCCGCAACACATCATTAAGAGTGTAAATTCATGAGGCGAATGGAATTGATTAGGTATGAAGACCCAGGA